TGATACGCGAGCCAATCAAACTACTTGTTTATCTCCTATGTTTTATCACACCATAGCTCCTTAATATTTTATAGATTTTAAACTTTTTACTCACTCTTTCTCTTTAAAAAATCACCTGATTTTTGTCACCTTCCTTAATGATTGACTTGGGTTATTACTCATGTATAAAGACATGATTAGTATAAAACTATCAATCCCCGAAAGAAATTGAGGATATTTATATATCTAACGACTAAGATAATTAACCATTATATTTACCAATTATACTGTACTATAATTCAACCAGTACATATAGTAATAAGAGATATACACAAACTACGAGAACTATTAGAACTATATCAAATGCGCCAAATTTGGGTCTATATAAATGCCTTTTAACCAATCAGAATGCATTATATACTAATTGATTGGATAAAAAAAATTAAAAAAAAATTCTTTTAAATTTTTTACTGTTAGACCCGAAAATTTACCTAGTAACACATGACTTATCGCACGTGCATTAATGTAATCCAAAGGTTACAAATGCCAAGAAAACTGCTTCTCATCAAAAATCAGGTATTTTTTATATCTTTTAAAAAAAAAAATCTATAAAATCTTGTTAATAATATTTTTTTTCAATATAACGATAAGCGATGAACGAAATTTTTAATAGTCGATTTGTGTAGCGGTAGCACATTTGCAAAACCTAATCTACAGATCGGGGTATACATACAGCAAATTATATAATCATCAGATTTAAGAGCATTGATATAAGACTTTCTTTTTGGTAGGGAATGTGTTTTTCGGTTCCATCGAGTGGGATTTTTAAAATCTCTTAAAGCACAAACGTCCCTTTACGTCCTTATGTCAATCTTTTAAATCTTTCAAATATTCTTTAGGCTGTGACGTGACGATTTAAACTCATTTCTATTTGACAGACAATTGTAATAATAAAAATACTGTTGATTTTGAAGGACAAACATGCCTTTTGGGATAGCATACGACGTTGTTACTACGTTGTCACGCTGGAGCATCCACAGCTTTTATAGAGAAATTAAAGTTGTTGGGTGTGAAAATGTGCCAAGAGAAGGTCCGATTATTGCTTGTTCAACGCATAGGTATCAAAAATTCGACTGTTTAATATGGTTTTAGTCGCAAGATAATTGATATTTAACTATCCATATTTATTTATAATTTAATAAGTAATATGATCGTCGATCCGGCTGTGCTTGCTGTTACTTTCCCTCACAATAGAAAATTGCATTTCTGGGCAAAAAATTCTCTTTTCGCTAATAAGTATACAAGACCTATTTTAGTGGGTGGAGGTGTTGTCCCAGTGGATCGGGCTACAAAGAATAACAAAGCATTATTCGCTGCTACATTGGAGGTTTTGAAACTCGGTGAAGTTGTCGCCGTATTCCCAGAAGGTTCTTTTTAAGAAAATTAATTTAAATTTATTGTTTCCACGTAAAGATAATAACTAGTAAAATTTTAGGCACGTCTCATTCTGAATCTCGATTGATGGAGTTAAAGGATGGTGCGTCTTGGGTTAGTATTCATTTGTTGTAAGTGCTTTATCATCATACTTCTTGTTGATAATTTGTCAATATGCTAGGCTGCATTGGAGTATGCTTCGCAAATCACGCAGCAAGACAATACTGAAGAATCAAATAGCGACGATGATATTGTCATTATCAAAAAGCGAAATGAAAGACAAATTATAATCATTCCGTGTGGGATAACATATGTGCAAAAGTCAAAGTATAGAAGTTCATTGATAATAGTGTATGTATTATTATTATTTATTCATTGGATTATTTGTAATGTAATACAGAAATTTATTATCTATATTTTCATAATTATTTTAAAAAGATACGGTTCTCCCATACAAATCGATCCGTATCTTAAGGATTTCTCTCTTGATAATCGGGTCACAGTTAAAGCATTGACAAAACGCATTGAGTCTGAAATAGAAAAATTAACAATAAATGCTTCTAATTGGTTTGTTTAATTATATTTATATTGTATACTCTGAAATTAAGCTGCTTTTTAAATTAGGCAAAAGTCATATGTTTTTATTAATAAAATTTGTCCAAAAAAATAAGTTACTCTTCTTACTCTTCAGTTTTTTAAGCCTAAATTTGTGTAAAAAGAGTGGCTTATTTTCAGAGGTTTTCGGCAATTTATTCACAAGAAATGAATTAAATCGTTGATACCTTTACTAGGGAGATTTCTAATGCTGCTTCAATGACTCGAATGCTTTATTTTTCTGATGACAAACGTGTTCCACTTGAAGATTATGTAAAAGTTACACAAAGGTATGCTATTGTATTGACAAGATTCTCCAAGACAATTCTAACTGAAATTGTATCATTGTTTAGTCTCATTAATTTTTTCGCAAACACAACGTCTGAAGAAGTAATAACATTAAAAAATTTACTTAACCAATACAAGACCTCCCTTGATGCGTTTCATCTCTCAAATAATGATATTTCAAGATATGAGAAGCATAATCTTACGTTGCCATGGGCTTTATATTCGTTTTTATGCGAATTATTCAAATTTTCTATTCAATTACCGTTTTTTTTACCAGGTTTCTGTTTTCATTGGCCAATTTACGTTTTGGGTAAAGTTTCCGTAAAATTCGAAAAATATGAGGAATCAAGAGCGCAAAACAAGATTATGTTAGGTTTAGTTTGGCTGATAATGGCTTATACTGTGTTATTCCTCTTTATTTGGAGTATGTGGTTTTTTACGCCTATAGGGTTAATATTCTCGGTTGGATCAGTAATCATCTTCGCTTGGTATCATGTTTCTCTTGTTGATAGGTAGGATAAAGTTTGGATTTTTTAAATCGTTTGATTGTTAAACATTTCTAATGCCTTTTTAAAATAATAATAATAAAGCCATTACGATACCTTTAAAGAATTGATCGCATCATTTAGATTATTATCGGCCCTTAGTGGTGGTAGAGGTAGTAAATCAAGCGACATGATAGAAAATCTTGTAGCAACACGTAGGCTATGTTTAGATAATTTAAGGAAAGTCAGTGAAGATTATAGAAGTAAAAGTGATGATCTAAGATTAGCATTAGAGATCAGTGAAAGAGAACAATTAAGTGATGGGCTTGATAAAAAATCAGCATAATTACTTTCATCTAGCATAGCAGTAAATTTCAACTCTAACCGATTTTGATTTCAGAATGAAGTATATGTTATTTATTTATTTATTTATTTTTATTGTGGTGGTTCTAGTGCATATTTCTAGGATCTATAAAAATTACATCCTGCTCTTGAAGGATTTGATCGCCACTTACTTGTGGTAATTATTATTTTTATACTTAATAAAATATGATATTTAATAACTTCTCTGATTACATTATTACAATATTCATAATTCGTACAGTATTATCCGTGTAAACTATAAGTTAAACAAATGAAAATGCCACCAATATTACTTGAACATTACGTATTATTATAACATTATAATAAACAAGGATTTAGTTATTATAGAAAGGCGAAAAAGGTATATTTAACACTTTATTTGTCAAGATAAATTGAATTAAAAATTTTTTTTTAAATAAAAGTTTATTAGAATTCTATAATATTCTAATTAAGTAACAAACCATATACGATAAACCGCATATAATGTTTGGTCTATTCTTTAATTTAATTTTTGACTACTCCCATTTGACAAAACTATCTCTGTTAAAATACACACTTTTAATCCGTCATGTGCAGGCCTGACCCACAATCCAGGTTCCCCTTCTTCTAACAACTTCATTTCCTCTGTCAAACTGTGATGTTCTACTGCATGGGAAAAGCCCGTAAGATAAGTCCTTTTTGGTATTGGAACTAGATTTTTTGATGTATCAATAGCTTGTTGTATCGAAAAATGGGATGGGTGTTCCTTATCTATACGATGTAAAATCATGATGAATTCCTGAGACATGAATCTAATATATTAATGAAATTAAACAAGTAACATACGATCCAAAGAATCCAAAATTACGATTTCACTCCCATGCATTTTTCCGCGTGTTTCTTCTGGTATAAAGTTGCAATCAGAGATATAACATATATTATCAAAGCGGAAACCAATGTAGGTATAAGGCTCGTTTGTTGAGAAATGGACACCATGTTGAACTATAATATGTTACAATCACTGTATTAAATACATAATTTCATTAGAGCATGACTCAAAATGTTACCTGGCAGTGGAATGAACTCTAACCCTTCGATAGTAAATGGACACTTTGAATCTATAATATTCCATCGAAACGTTGGTAGATCTCCTCCACCTGTATATAATGTCAGGATTTAATGAGACAAAAAAAAAATAATAATAAATAAAAAAAAAGAATTAATGATTACGCATACCGGTAGCTTGACTTGTGTCCACTAGATATGGAAAGGATGCCTTGACAGCATCTAAAGTATCAGCTGTCAGATAAATCGAAATATGATCTTGTATTATTTGATGCAACGTCCAAGCTCGTAAGTCATCTAACCCGTTTATTGCGTCAGCATGCGGATGGGTTAATATGAGTGCATCAATTTGACGCAATTCATAATAAGGCCACCATTTCAATGCTGAGACTTATTACATCAATGGCACATGAAAATCAGTTAAATAATAAGAAACTGCACGATTTAATGCATGAATAAATTAATCATTACCATAAAATGTCTTTCCACAATCTATAACGATATTTCTGTTATTCGTGAAACATGCATATAATGGAATTGTTTCTAAAATTCGAGAAATTATAATTTTATTCTAATATATTGAAATTGTACCTCACTCTTCCATCTTCATGATTCACTCTGATTAATAGGCAAGTGTTTCGCCTTATATTTACTTCACCTTCAGGAGTGAATGTTGACATACACGTTTTACATTTTTTTTCCGGGTCTATCAAGCACGCAATCACAGGAACACCAGAGGACGTGCCTATATGAATTTAGATTTAGCAAATCTTTATAAAAGTCCGCTAAAGTTCTGATTATTTACCTGTTCCAAGAAAAATAATTTCTTTAACCCGGTGGATTGATGACATTAGACAATAATTTAGGTACTTTACATCAGAACTTTTTAACTCTGTGATACGTTAGGGTGTGCAACGGCCTATTAAAATCATATAGTTAGGGTCACTAATGATCATCACTAATTGCGGATTTTCTAATGG